TCCAAAGACCTTGCTTGACAGAATGGCTGCCTCTCTCTGAAAAAGCAGCAGCAACTTACACTTTTGGAACAAGGAATTTAGGTCATAGGCAGGTAGCTAGGAGTGTGTGAGGGGGACCCCAGCAGGCACTACCTGAGGGACAGTGTGAAAGTGGAACAGTTTCTGTGAGCCTGTGTCACTATGTGCCATCACATGCATGTGTACTTTGCTGTATGGATGTCAATGTAGCTGGTATTGAAACTGCAGCTGGTCATGTGTAAGGGCTCAGGCAGCTCAGGAGCTAGTCACTAGACCTATAACGCTTGACCTATAAGACAGCAACTCATCTTTCCTGTAGTTTTTTTTTGGCAACTTAATTAATAATTTTAAAAAGCATTAAAAAAAATCTGCAGCTACAAAAGTATCCATTCCCTTCAGAGACTGGACAACGTTTTATTGACAAGTAAATAACCTGTGTGAAAAACTAAATAGCAGCAACCCCACTGAATTGGTGTTCTTCAACTGCAGCGTCCAGCTGCAGGGGGCATCGTGACTGGCTTGGTTTGGTTATGGGATAATCTGGGACAATGGGATTTCCTTGAACTAACTTAGTGTCATACACTTCAGTCTCGGCCCAAGCTTAGTCAGGCATGAGAATGAACAAACCTGCCCATTTCAATAGCTGGACTTCAGCACCACCATGCTGAAGTGCCCTCCCTGTGGACAATTTCTAGTCTCTCCCCTATTCTACTGAGTTGGGGTTTTTTTGACAGACCCATACTTCAGTCTTGGCATACAAGCTATTTGGTACCAGACTACTCTTGACTCTTTCAGGGGCAGGACAGAAAAAGTGTTGGAAATTTCTCCACAGAAATTTGAGGGAGGTCATAGCACCTGCACCCAACCACCTGCACCCCTTCCTCCAGCAACTCACAAAAAACATTTAACCCAATCCAGAACCCCCAGCCCCAAACACACCAATGAGGTTTCAGGTTAATAAGCAGTGCAGTTATTCAGCTATCTGCTCTTAAGTTCTAGGAGGTTTCAGGCAAGTCGCTCCACTTCTGGAGGTTGCCCTATTAATTTCCATGTTATCAGCACATTTCTACTTTAAGACTGGGATTTTTTTTTTGCTTTGCTTTTAAGGGGTTTCCTTCCCTTGTAGTAAACTCAGGAATTAATAGAAAAAAGTAATTCAAAAGTAATCCAAGCACATCTGTAAGTAATCTGCAGGAGAGAGAGCAGAGTGACTTGAGTCAGAGTTGGCACTCAGATTCCTGGCTCCTGGGCGGGCGTGCAGTCTCCAGACAGGCAAAAAGCCCTTCTGCTGAAAGCGGCTAGAAATTGGATTTGGAGTGTCCAAATATGCAGATGGGAAAGTGCTTGACATGGGAGGACCATTGCGCTGCCAGCTGAAAGAACTTCACATCGTTCCACTCGACGCCATCAATCAGGACTGTGGGTGGGAAAGGATACAAACATGGAAGTAGGTTAAAGAGCACTAAGCAGGAACTATTGCACTAGCAAATCCCTCAATGCCAGGGCATCCTCCTGCTTCAGTTAGTACCAAGAATGGGAAAGGCAGCAAGGGAGCAGGAGAACTAGAAAAGAGACTTTATCAAATCTCATGCTTCAAGCTGCTCTGCAGCTGAGATGGGTAAGATGCCAGCACTCTGCTGGCTGCCCACCCTTGGCAATAGGATCATCATGGCAACTGACTACATGCATTATGCAAAAATTCTCTTCTTGCTATCAAGCATCAAATCCAGGTCCTGGCTAGAACAAACAAGATGGACCCTTGTTCCAGAAGCAGCACCTGTAGTTTCTATTACAGCAGTAATGGAACTTATTGATTTCATTGTCATTCGATCTCTTGTACTTTACTAACCGATTTCCAAACTTTTTTGGGCAAGGCATCAATGTAATATTAGCTGCATGTCTTTTTCAGGTCTTGTTTTATCAGTTTGGATTTTTAATTGAGAATTTAGGGATTTTTTTTAAAAGAAAGAACACAGCAGACTGTGCAATTGTGTTAGTTCTGGGAAGTTACAAGTATCCAATAACATTAGCAACCTGAATTCCCCTGAGCTAGAATTAAAAGGATGAACTAAAACAGACCTCTTGACTTATCAGTTACACTTGGAATTTACAAGCAACTTGAGCCACATGGGGATGCTTGCAGCTTTTAGTCTACAGCTTCTAGTGGAGTCCCACAAGACTAACGTTGTAGCCACTTTATGCTGATGAACTTTAACTTTATGCCACTTTGTAAGATGCTCACAGTCCTTGCTTCTTTCTATTAGGCACTTTGTCAGCTTTGGAGAAGCAGGGCAATCTTTGACTTCGCAAAATTCAGTACTCAAAATCCATGAGTCACTGACACCAGGTTTCATCTCCTTGGTTCTCATCAGATAGCCTGCAGTCCCTGCTTGACCTGCCTAGTTCTCAGAGTTGTGGGGCTGATGATTATTTTGTGTTGGCAGCAGGAGGCAGAGCCTAGGGAGAACATAGGAAGTTTTGCTATCTCTTGCATGAGTATGACAATAGTAGGGGTTTTGCTGAAAGACTCAGCTCCCAAAGTAGCATTGCACAAACATCTTGGGCTTCATTTCAAAAGGTGCCTTGCCCACTTGGTTGCAGAAGCAGCTGTAGGAATGTGATCCCTAAGAGTTCAAAACCCAGAAAGCAAAATTGCAAGGTCTAACATCTAACCTTTAAGAGTATTGCCATTTTGAGTGCCTAACTCATGCTTTTAGAGCACTGGGGTTGGTGATGCCGCTTAGGCCACACTGCCTTTGTCTTCCAGGGGAAGCCCTTGGGGCAGGCTCCAACTCAGCAGCAGAGCAGACATGCACTTCTGCCCATCACTGTTACTTCCTACCAATTCATTGATGAAGAGATACATGACCTAAGGAGAATGTGGGCTGAGTCATGCCAGGCTTGGCTGTGCCTTACCTGCTACCACCTTGGAATTTAGGCCTACTTAGACAACAGTGATCATCTCTAGACCCTTTGGCCTCACAGAGAGTTTCCTGAAGCAACATGTGCATAAGGAAGAATGACAACTTAAGAGAAGGGCACACAACTTACCACAGAGTAAGAGGAAAGTAGGGCTTTGCTGCAGATCAGGTGATTTGCAATAGCCACTAATATACATATTGCTACCCTGCAAGAAGATAGAAACTGACCTACGGTGGGTTAAAGGAAGAGGGATAAGCTAATGCAGGTTCGCTTTCACCTTTCGCTTTCAAGCGCACAGGCACTTGCTATGAAAGGGATGAGGTGAAGTGTTGCCCCCTTCCACTGTGCAGGAAGCCATGTGTCCATGCCCTATGCAAAGGGAGTGGTCGGAATTAGAAAACATGGCTTTCACAAAAGGAGAGCAAGTAGCCAGCACTGCCCAGGGGAGCAGGGAGATATTGTGGGTGCCTGCAGGGAAAGTCTCTTCTCAGACCATCTACTGTAGCCAAGCAGATCCAAGGTGTCTGCAGTGCCTCTTGGGCGCATGAGCAGGTACAATCAGTAGCAGTCTGGGTGAGTGAATACAAATCTCAAGGACTCTTCTGTCAACAACAAGCCAGTCACCA